AGAAGGCATTTGACATCCAGCCTGAGGACTGGGACAGGGGGCAGGAAACTTTAGCCACTACCTTGCTTGAAGTAGTTTTATTTGGTTAGGGTAAGAGACACTCTCCAGCCAGCGGCGCTCAGCTTTAGATACTCTCTCAGACAGCAGGGGCTGGAGCTGCGTCCTCAGCCTGAAACTTTTCTGCCTGTCTTGATTATCTGCTAAACATCTGGAGACTTCGGCCTGGCCAAAAGATGCTACAAGCATTAATCAACGAGAAGAGACAGGCATGGTTCCCACCAGCCCTTTCCTTATTCTTCAAATAATCATTTGTGCCTGCGTGTTGCAGATCCCAGCAGCAGCACATTCCCCAGTGGGATCACACAATGGGCCTCCTGCTTGGAGGGGTTGGGAATCACAAAACGTGGAGTTCCCAACATGATTCATTCATATGTTTTGCATTATTTGCAGTGCAAACTGACTGTATCTTCACACCTGTGAAGACACACCTGTATCTTCATTTTGCCTTCTGCTTGTAGAGATAGCTCAAAGCTTTCAATATTTCCTACCTCACTGTTCCTCAGGGCTTCCAACTGGAAAAGCACACATATTTTACTGTGTTCTGTCAGTTTGCAATGAACAGCTGGGACTCCAGAGTGTGGAATTACAAGGGAAGGATGTGTGCCCAGGAACTGAACAAGAAAAGTGAAGTTTCCACACAGCTGACCTTTTCTCTTTTATTCTGTTGTTTCTACAGTCATAAACCCAGGGACAATGAAGCCTTAAAATGAAGCAATATAATCCCTAGTAATACAGTTGTATTATATTGCAATAAAAGCAATATAATAATACTACTACACAAATACTAATAGCATGAAGTATTTTGTGAAACATACACACATAGCCATAAAAGTGATCTTCATGAGATATTCTCAAAACCAGAGCATTGCTCTGATTACTTCTTTGGAACAAATAAGAGCAGAAAAAATGTTATTTGCTGGTGTCTCAAGAGGGTGCTCACAGAATCTGATTGCAGAATCAGCAGACATGAAAGGCCTGATTGTGGGGCATGGTCCCCATCTGCGTTGGACTTTCAGGAAGCCTTGTAAAGACCCAGAGAACTGTGTCCTGGCTGACTGGCTGCATCATTCAAACCTCCTGGTTGTTTCTTGTGTGGTCCTTCTGCTGTGTCCAATACTTAGCAATGCCCAGCCAGTGAAAAGTCTTCTCTGGTGACAGTACGAAGCTCATAGTTCAAGGCTGTAGTGGGGAAGACTGCCAGGGACTGGCTTTTCCAGCCTTGTAAATAATGCTATGAAGCACAAAGTGAACTTGAAAGCACGCTGCTGATGCTTGTTAGTATTCAAGCAATGGAGGAAGCCCCTAGCAGGAAGAAAGAAATATGAACATTAAAAATTAGATGCCAAAAGCTTAAGTTGCACCGTTAAGATGATCCAGAGTTTGAAAATACAGCATCTAGTCAAAGAGATCACTTTGATCAACCTTCAGCATGTCAGATAATCTCCCTTGGGATACAGCTTTCCAGACAACAGTGTAGCACCTTGGAATTTACTGTGCCATGTAAACCTCTCCTAGAAAGACAGACCATTCAGCAACAGATGCATTTAAAAGGTGGCAGATTGCACAGCTGAATCCAGGGGAAGTGGAGCTAGGTCCTGTGAAAAGGCAGAATTTTGGGGGTTAGAAATGCCCTCTAGAGGTCTCTAGTCCAACAACGTGTTTGCAGCATGGCTAACTCCAAAGCTAGATCAGGCAGCTCAGAGGAAAGTTTTCAGTGTCTCCAGGGATGGAGGTCTGACAGCCTCTCTGGACACCTGTTCCAATACAGCACCACTGTCAGGGGAGACATTTTCCTTCTGTCCAGTTGGAATTTCCCTTGTTGCAGCTTGTGCCTGTTGCCTCATTTTCCCTCTGTGCAGCTTTGAGGAGAGTCTGGGTCTGTCTTCTCTGCCTTTATGTAGTGGAAAACTGCAGTTAGATCCCGCTTAGCCTTCTCTCCTTTAGGTCTAACAAAGCCAGTCCCCCTCAGCCTCTCCCTGTAGGGCAGGAACTCCAGCACCCTGACCATTGCAGTGGTACTCCACCAAACCCTCTCCAGTTCCTCAGTGTCTTTCTTGTGCCAGGGAGGCCAGGACTTGACACAACAGTCTGTATTTCTCTGGAGCAAGTGCCTGAAATGAAGCCTCCTCATTACATCGCTGCACTCAGGGGGTCTTGGTCTGCCCCAAGAATTGTCAGTAAGCAAGGGTCAATTAGACTTATTTGAACATTCACAATCAGTACAGTAGGGCTGGATGTTCACAAGGGCTGAGCACATAGACCTTCCCATTCCTTCTGTGGAGGGTTTGTGGTTAGTCAGAACTACTGATATTGGGCTGTATTCACCTTCATTTTAGGGATGGCTTGAGTTTGGTTGAGACAGCAAAGCAGTTGACCAAGTGCCTGACTTTCAGCATGAGCGTCCAAGTGCAAGCTTCCCAGCCACCAGGACTCTGCAGTAATCAAGAAGGTTGCCAGGGGCACAGGGATGGACAGGTCACTTGTTAGCTGGCTCTTTAAGACTAAGACCTGAAGGGCATATTCCCTTGTACTCCTGCCCAGGAAACTGTGCTGAGTCAGCTGTAGTTTGTTGTTACTTATAAGCATTTACCAGACCGCTCTCTTCAGCTCCCTGGTGAGCATCACATTACACATTTGATTGTGTGTAAACTGCTAAATTATTTAATCTCAGACATTAGGAGACTCAGGAAGGCTGAAAGCCAAGGGAAAAATATCTTCTCAACAGTTACATTGCACTAACTACTTTGTTAGATCAGCTGACTGACTGGATAATGCCACCAACTGCATATCCTGTCATTTGAATATTTTATTCAGACAGAATTAGAAAGATCGGGTCCTGAGGTATTAAAAAACCTATATAAAGTTTGTTGTGGATGGAACTGAAATGAAATTTACTGTTTACCTTTTCCTCAGTCAGAAATAAAACAACGTGTTTATAGCATCCTACAAACAGGTTAGTTTTTCTCCTTCTAGACTTCAACTCCCTGTCTGTATTATGTAGTATATAGTTCTGTGTGTTCCTTCCTCTTTCTCCTTCTGTGCATTCTGCTAGCCCACATTCTACATATAGGCTTGCCCCACAAACGGTAACTGAGCCAGGAAGTTAACTCCAGTCTTTGGTCTTCTCTCCTGTTCAGTAGACCACCTTCTCTTTCTTGTATAGTAGCATATCAAGCCATACAAATAACTTCTGCAGTTGTTGCAAGAAATGGGGAATGCAGATCTCAGTCGTATGATACTCTTATGTGTAAACTCTAATCCTGAAAGTGAATCCACCCATCTGTGGTTTTGAACTCGCTCAGAACTTAACTAAAATCAGTGGCTGTTTACACAGATGAATGAGCTTTTGGGATCAAATATCTCTAGCAAGTCGCAAGCTAATTTGTAGCTGATCCATCTAAAGGGTTAAAATAATTTACCCTTTCCTTAGTAAAATACCTGCGAGTATTGCTAAATCTCTTCTCTACTTCTGGCCACAAAGGCACAATGTAGCAGCATAGTCCATGGCAATCTCTGGCCCACTTGGCCCTCTGTTTGTACAGCATCAAGCCCATGCTTATTTTTCCTTCTATCGTTTCTGCTAACACCATTGTCAGGATCTTCCCAACCTCCTTTTCCTAGGATTTTGTATTACTTTTCACTCTCAACATTTTCTTCGAGTGCCTACTAACCAAAAGTATATGATGGAGCTCCACCCAATTCAGAAAGATGGCTGAAGTGAATGCCCAGGGCCAATAATCTTCTGCTCCATGTTGATGTGCGACAAATGTTTTCCAGCAGTAACTGTAATCTGAGAAAAGAGATATCAAGTCACTCTTGATGAAAGTCATGCCCAATTCTTTCTTCATTAATATGTCAGTGAGTCACTTCTTTCTCAGTAAGACAATGGTAAAGGGCAGGAGAGAGATATTAATCTGAGGGTATTCATGCACGGGACTAACAATGACTTGCAACTACACAAATAAGTTAGTGGAAAGGGGAACCAAAACTCTACAAATAGCAATATGTCTAAAAAGGGGAATTGCCAGAGAGAGATCACTACAGTGGCTTGGGCAACCCTTATCACAGATAGCACATCAGGGCATAAAGCCAGAGCATGTTGGCCAAGGGAGAAGGAATCAGTGAGTGGCAGGCTGATTCTCTGGGAGGTACTGAAAAGGGAAGTGGCACATGCAACCAAGGCTGTTCAGGCATACCTTTTGGCAGCCCTGTGCTTGATCACAGCAGCTTTGGGTAAGTCAATAAACTTTTTGCTTCAGTCATTAATCTGTCTGACTTATCTCAGGGAAAAACTGGAGTGAACGCCCTAACATTTAGAATTTTCATATTAATCTTAGTGTTGATAGGATGGCCAGAGCTGCTGTCAATGCTCTGGTGGTATAATCCCAGAGACAGGTTCCCCAAGATAAGCAAATGTAACTTAAAGTTTACATTTGACCTAGGAGGTTTTGTAGCTGCACACTCCAGTAGTAAGTATCCAGACACGTATGCAAAATTCTTCTCTTCAAATGTACGTTCCTTTCTGTTAGCTACTTGTCTGGACTATTTTTACAGCCAAAGATCAACAGGCGAGCAAAATATACATACAAAAAGACACACATGCAAGACACAGTTGTCCTCTGTGATGCATGATCTGAAAGTCTCCTTTAGATATGTCTCCTTCTCTTCTCCAGCTATCAAAGGAAACAAATTACTTGCTGCAGCTGGCAAGCTGCTTTGCATATATATGAGCCTTGTTCAGGTTTGGCAAGAGGAAATGACCATGCTGCGGCTGTATGGGATTGGGGAAGAAATAAGACAGAAGAGAGTGGCATTTTTGTGCTCACTAGTCCTCCCCAATGCCAGTCATCACCGCTATTACAAAGCACAACTGCTGAGAGTGAACATGTTATGGTTTGAAGAACCCACAATGATTTATTGTCATTTAGACCATTATTCTGTCACCCGGTGACCCCTCCCCACACTGGAAGGGGAATCGGGAAAAAGAAGAAAACCCAAGGGTTGAAATATAAACAGATTCAATAGAATAATATTAAATAATTAACATTAATAATACTAAAGAACCAATATTGATCCCGATACCAGTATAAAATATACAAGCATTATAGCCAATTATATCAGTAGGAAGCTGTGCACTCCCAATGGTGGATAGCAAATGTGGGACACTGTGAGTGCTATGGCTTCAGGAGGAAGGGAAGGCCTCAGGGGTCCAGCACCAGGGCAAGAAGTTCTTAGGATCACAGCCATCATAGAAGAGAAGCAACTCCTTGGCAAACCTTCTAATTTATATTGAGTGTGACTTTCTTGGTATGAAATAATCCTGTTGGACAGCTTGGGTCAAGTGCCCGGGTCTCACTCCTCCTCATCCCCGCACCTGGCTAGCTCAAAAACACTGAGGCCTTGAAACCCGCATAACATAGCTGACTATAAAGTAAATATTTTCACAAATTCAGACACTAGAGTCTTCTAAAAATGCAGTTTTCTCTAGCATTAGAAGAGACCTTACTGAAAAGTAAAATTACTGAAAGAGAAATTAATCCTGTGTCACTCAAACCAGGACAGCACATAATCACAGAACTTTCAATCCACACTTAGACAAAGCCAAAGAGTAGCTGGGTTACCTGCAAGATTCATGATACGTATAATGACTCCATGCATTGCTAGGTTCTTGAGACCTTGCCGGTTACGCATATCCAAGTGCTTGAACAGCTTGGCTGCATGTATTTTCAAGGTCACATTGGGATGTACTCTCAGGAACTTCAGAATTCTTCTGGAGCATCTCCCACAGGGGGTAGTAGATAGGAACCAGGTGATGGAGCAAGAAACTGATGGCATGGCCTTGAAACAATTTTCCAGGAAGTTGACTTCAGCATGTTGGGTAGAATTGTTTGAGCACCAGTTCCTCCAGATGGTACCTCTGCTCCACCTGATTTCATACAGCAGGTACACCACATTTGGATGTTTGTCAGGCAAATAATTTCTTATGAAGTCATCCGGCTGTATCTCCCACCTACGACAAAAGTACCAGCATACTATGATCCCAACACTTCCATGATGTTTGGTCCCATTGTGCATTGCCTGCTCTCAACATCAGCCAAGCCTCCCTCTCTCAGCCTTTCCCATCACAAATGAGCAGCTTGAATAATGTTGCAATCTAATGACCTAAATCTGGAATTTCATGAAGGGTCCAGAATTATTCCCCTAGAATGGCCCTGGTGAAACACCCACAGCACCTCCTTGAGATGTAAGCAATCCCATCACTCCTCCGAGATCAGCACTTGTCTAAGCAGTGAGACAAGTGGAAAGGAAGATTGGGGAAAGGGATGGTAAGGGGAAAACAAGGCACAATGCTTCTTAGCTTCACCTGTCTCTGGAAATTGGTTGGGGCCTAGGCAGTACACAGTAATAGAACTATATCTCTTACCCTTGGTTGTTCTGTCTGGGTGCAGGACCTACATAGAAAAGATTTGCAAGTCATTGGGAATAGTAGATCAGAAAATGAAATTTCCTTTACACCTCCTGTCCTGCCCCCTTTTGGTCCATACACTCTCTGCCAAATCTCTTTTATTTAAAAGACATATTCTGCACAGCAGCATAGCCACTCTGAGATGCAGGAGTGGTGGCTTTCTACTTGGGAGCTAAACTTGATGGTTGTTCAAACTATGATGTGCGTGAATCCTTGATCACTCTAACACGTTAGGGTTGACTGTGGTCTCACTCAAGTTTATCTTCACTGATTTCATCAGTACTGCATCTGCTTTTCCCTGAATAATCAAAGACCAGAATCAAATGCCTTCTGCCTTTGTATCTTCCAAACAACTTCTACTAGGCAAAAGTGGAATTATTTCCCTGTTGGTACTTATAACGTCAATCTAGACAAAACCATTTTCACAGCTAATGGTTCTTTTTTCTCCTAGTACGAACCTCATTCAAAAGCTGAAAAAATATACCAGTGTCAAGGAAAAAATATCAGTGCAGAAAGGAGGGTGATTTCTGACTAACAAATACTGACAGGGTGGCACCACAGGCCTGCCTGATTATATACGTTTTTTCTCTTGTGCTGGCAAAGAAGTTTGACCCTGTGCCTCATTCATCCCTTCCCAGCCGAGGGTCTAGATGAAAACAGTTGTGGGTGATCAAGGCTAGTTATGTAATTGTAGACGTCCATCCATAGCAAACTTAAGGATATAAGAACCTTCATTTCATTGAAGAAAAGAATTAATTTACTTAGAATTAAGATGCTAAAGGCACTTTTCCATAGCTCTTTAAGATGAGGAATTATGAAATATACAGAATGAAATTACATTTCAGCAGG